AAAAAATCTCTAGTTTATTATCTTGAGCTTGAGATGTATTAATGTGAAAAATGGACTTCAAGTATTGAAAATGATTCATCTTGTAATACATTATATATACCGTTTATTTTCAAGGTTTTCAAGAATTCATAGATTTGTTGGTTCTACACTATTTTTAAAGTTTTAAATTTTATAATTAGAGATAAAAATAGATTTACATACCATTACGAGAATTTCAACAGTAAAACAACATCTTTCAGTTCCATTTAAACATGTGCCTCACTTTGATTGTTTAAGGTGCTAACCTTCTATAAACCGCATCTTTTACTTTTTAGGACAATACGCCCTATCAAAATAAGTAAACATTCACCTCAAATGTCACTAAAAATTACAGTTCTGGCATCGAAAAACCTGCAAATCAATTATTTGGGCCCTGACAATTATGGTTCTGAAAAAAAATTAGGATTTCAAGTCTTAAAAATAATATATATTGCAATACATTATCTAGACTGTCCATTTCATCCTAAAAATATGTTCACAAATCTACAAGATGTGTATTATTTTTTGAGCTTCAAATTTCATAATTGGTGTTGGAAGTTGATTTTAGAGGTGTCATAGAGATCTTCGATGCTCCAAGTGCTTTCTGGATGAAGGTTCAAGGTGAGACTTTTCCTTCGTTTTCATGAAGTCCATAAATTATAAAAACTGCATCCTACTTGACTTTTTCTCAGTTGGAAAAAGAGGGCCAAATCTCTCTCTCCCTCCGGCAATGATTTTTTATCGGAAAAGAGAGAGATACAACTCTTCTGAGTTATCTCTTCCTCATTGCAAACATATTTTATCCACAGGAATGTTATTATTACTTGTTGGAGGGAAGGAGTCGTGCCGAATTTTATTAATGTAATTTTTCTTACGAGTGGGAAAACCACGACTCGGACATGGTACACGGCCTTGGGCCGGACCAAGTAACCCAGAATGGGTCCAGCAGGTCCTCGCTATGTTAAAAAGTATTAAAAATAAAAGATACAAATAAAATCCTAAAAATTATGAAAGCATCTTTAAAGTAAAACTAAACACAACACGTCTCGTCAAAATTAAATAAAAAAAGTACTGAAAACAATAGATTTAAAAAAATCAAATAAAAAAAATAAATATTCATGACGAAAATACTTTATAATCTTTGTCAAAATAATAAAAAAATATAAAAAAAATATTAATAGAATTCTTAATTTTCAATTCTTTAATATTTATTTTTTATTTTTTATTTTTTATTTTAGATCCCAAACGTAACCACTAAAATAGGGCTTAACGGGACCCGCGGTGGGTCCAGGTCGACGTGTCCGTTTTGCGAAGGGCGCTCACAAGAGAGTTGAGTCAGATTTGGAGTGAGGTAGAGAGATGGGATAGAGTGACCAACCCTTGAGAGACACAATGCTAAGATGGGGCCGGGCCCTAACAATTATGAACTTCATGTCTTATATATACGAGGAATACCTAAATAACAATTTTATATACAAAAACAATTATGACCCATAAAGAAATAACAAGCTGGACCATCTGACGTTCCCAAGCTTTATCATATCATATTATTATGCACACTTTAATTATGATTATGTTTACTCTTTATCATAACATATTGTTATGCACACTTTAATTATGATTATGTTTACTTTGATCACTATTGTACACGCTTGTAATGAATAAAAAATTGGTAGTTCAGCTTTGAATCGCTGCATTTGAATTAAAATCGACGAGTCGCGTACCGAATTTCTCCACAATTGGGATCGGCCTAATAAAATCCTAGGTATAAAAAAAATGTCATAAAACTTTTGTACACGAAGCAATTCGAAGTTCCTACGCCTTTTTAAAACCTTTTGAATTTTTTTCATATTTCTTTTTTTTTTGTTTTTGTTTCAAATTTGGCCCAGTCACTACCTGGCCGGTCTTACTCGGAACCAATGGACAACCAATTCGACTTGCCAGTCCGATTTTTAAAAAGTTAACAAGCAATGTGATTTTTTCAACTGGTTAAGAAGTTGTTGTCAATGTGATATAGAGGAGAATTCAGGGTGTATGACATGCTCCTCCCCATTCCGTCAGATAGTTTTAGAGTTAAATTTTTTAATGCATTAATGTGGTGGTGTAGCTGTGTAGTGATAATATGGTAATATCAGTGAAAATAAAAACCATAATATCATAATTATGGTGCAGCGGTGCTAAAGCTTAACCCCTTTTTCAATAAAGTGGTAGTGGGTCATATTTGGTTGGGAGTCCGTTGAATTCATTTAAGAGGATGCTTTTATGATCTCTCTCTCTCGACAATGGCAACATAATATATCTCTATCACTCTTTCCAGTAGCATCTTCATTTTCCTCCTCTCACTCTCACATCACTGTGGTGGCATATTTGTTTTCCTTCAGTATGTGACCATTTGGGGGATTAAGGATCAAATCTTATATTTTTTCACATCACCATAATAGTTTCTTTCCTTAATTTATGATCTTTCTCCCTCTTTTTCTCTCACCCTCGTATGTAACCTATTCACCTAGCACCTAATCTAAAACAAAAGCAAACTTCAAATCACAATATGTATATGACTGGAAAAAATAGCATCCCAATATCAAAGAGAGAATATCCAACTTTCAGACGGTAAGGTATGATCCAAGTGTTATAGAAGTCAAAATCTAATTTTGTTTTTGAGAATACTCATCTGGTGATTTTTAAGTAAAATCTCAAAATTTTATTAAGACTAAAGATCTTATTCTCAAGATAGTATATTCTACATTTAGTACCTTGAGTAAAAACCAATGTAGAAGTAATTTTAGTACCCTAAATTTTGAGGATGTAACTTCTTCAACCTATAAAGTTATTTTATTAAAGAAAAAAATAATTCAAACGGTTTATACACTAGAAAAAAAGAGAAGAGAAAATGACATAAACCTCCTCAATAGAATTATAATTCTGAACAACACCCTAATCTGATAAATATCTCATGGAACCCCCAAATTAAATGAAAAGGACGTTAAACCACCTCATTATTCTTTTATTATTTCCATTATAAAATTTACTTTTCTTTTTTTCTCTAATAACCTCATCATAAAAATCGATTTCGTGATGCTTATTTTAACTTACTTGTGAGGTTTACGATACGAGAGATAAGTATTCAAAGAAAGTTGCTAGAGAGAGAGATGGAGAAAGAGGTCCCTCAGTAAGGAAGAAAGAAAAAGAGAACTTCGGCTTTTCCAGGACAATAGCAAAAGTAAAGAGGAGAGTTAACATCATTTTTTTGCTTAACTTAGGGGTTCTATGGAATATTTATAGGACCAAATGGTTATTTGAAATAATAATTTTAAAAGATAGGTTGTCTTTTTTTCAAAAAGATAATGTCTCGCGATTGAACCGAGACCATCTAATTTTTGAAAGCTAATATTTTATTTTCTTCTTTTTTTACCCAAAAAAAAAAACTCAAACTTCAAATTTATGCTTTTGAAAATAGGTGGTTCCCAAAATTTAAGACTTAAAAAAATCTTCCCAAGCCCTTTTTGAGTGAGGGAGTAGATGTATGTTTGTTGGGATTATACTATAAAGAAAATAATAATTTTTTGTGAAAAACTACATAGAAAAATAATACGATTCTTTATTGTGAAAAACTACATAGATATGATGTGCTGAGTCATCACGTTAGCATGCCACCTTACACATAGATTGATAATAATTCAAGGAGGGAATATTTTTTGCGAATCTTTTCAGTTAGAGAAGGATTGAGTCAAATAAGAACACTGTTTATTTGAACGAAAGTTATAAATTATATTATAAGTATGGGAAAATATAGAATGAGACTATTTACTTTCGATACAAAATGATCATATTTAATATCGGATGGTTATAATTATTCTATTGATTAAACTCAAACTTAAAAAAAAAAAAATTTATTGGACTTTGTTGTAACACATTTAATCTATCAAATTTCACATCGGACGATTTTAAGTAAATGTGACCACCTTGTATCAAAGGTAAATGATTTCATTGTATACAATCCCTTATATTTTGAAAACAATATATTTACTGTCAATTGAAGAGGTAAGAAAGACAAAAAAAATAGGCATTAACTTTACATATAAAATATCATAACTATTTTTTTAATTTAAAACAATTGTATAAGGTTTGCAATTTTCTACTATAGAAATAAGGTGCACCTCCAAATTCTAGTAGAAAAAAGTATTTTGAGGTTGAAAAACCTTGTGATCATTCATCTTAACTTTAAAATGTATAGATATAAAGAAAAAAAAAAATTTAGATCTTATAAACAATGCAAATAGTAATAACTTATTTGTTCCCTCTATTTTCAAGATTTTCAAGTGTTATTAGATTTGTTCTATTTTCATTATTTTTGGATTTTACATTTCATAATTGGTATTTAATATAGATTTTCAACTTTTTACTGTAAAGTTTTTAATATCAGAACTACATCATTGTGCAAACGTCTTACTTATATTGTATGGTGGACTTGATATAAACCTCACTATTTTTTAATTGAATTACAAGATATTAGGGAAAATTCTTTTTATAATGAGGTCGTGTACTATGAGACCATTTATTTTCTAGAAGGTCACAATTAATCCGTTCACCAAATACTTCTTTTGCTTGAATGGTATTTTATTATTAATTCCGAGAGAATCAGGGAGATCTTGACCGTCAGTGATTTTCGTGAAGAACCTCAATGTCCGAATCCACGCTCCTGATCCCCTCTCCAGCTTAGATGCCCTGATATTGCGACAAGTGTCAGTATAAGTTCAAGCCTACCCCTCAATCGACAAATATTACCAGAAACACCCTTTTACGCGTTGAACCCTTCGCCATCGCAAATGACTCAAAATGTCACATCATTGTGTGAATCCCAATCACATCCTCAACTGTTTTTTACCTAACCAGAATCCGACACGTGTCTGATGACTCCCCATGAATCCCGCCCTTAAATACGCGGACGCTGCCTTTCTCTCTCATCATTTGAAAAAGAAAGAAAGAAAAAAAATTAAAACTTTAAATTTCGAGTTTGCTGGTGGGATTCTTTTCACCCATTCCTTTAGTAAAAACGGAAAACCGCTTCTCATGAACCAGAGCTTTAATGCCGGTCTTTTTGCTTTGAAATAGAAAAGGAAACCAAACCAGGTTTCATTTTCTCTCTAATTGCAATTTTCAATTCCTCCATTATTGAGTTAAAGCTCTGAGACCTGAGAGTGAGGTGGTTAATGGCGTTTTCTCTCAAAATGGAGTGCTTCTCTTTGCTGAGGCACGGCGAATGAGAGATTAGGTCACTTTAATGGCTAATTTCAGGTGTGTTTGTATTTTCATCAAGGTTATTTGGGTTAGGATTTTCGTTCTGTTTTGCACTCCTGCCTCTGAGTTTTCAGGTGAACCAGAGAATGGATTTTTGTGGCAATCTTTGTTCAATGCTTGAACATTCTCTCATTTTTCTTTGCATTTGTGTAAATTTAAGGATTTTTTAAGGGTTTTTGTCCATGTGCACCTAATTTGAATCTAGGTTGTTTGGTCTTATAGTCTAAATTTTCAATAGTTCAGTGTAATTATTTTATTTCGGTACTAATATGGCTCTAACCATAGCTATTTAGTGTACTCAAGGACTAATTATTCACAGGCGATCTCTGATTTTGGAATTCCATGGCTCTGGTTTTCTGATTTGATACCATCTGTGTATTCTATATGATATTGTGTTGGAGAGCGCTTCCTTTTTTGGTTTTGGTTCTTAAGATAACTATTCTATTTGAGATTTTTAAGCATTTATGTGATTGTTTCATTTGCTACCGTTAATTTTCCAGCAACTAAAAGTTTATTCCCTTGATGTTTGCTTGTTGTGTAAGGTTTGATATATTTAGATTTCTGCCACTTGCAGTTTAAGAGAACTCATTTATATGGATTTTTCTAATTTGATTTTATCATTTTTTATCGGTTGTTTATTGTATGTTCCAGTGTCTCTCAAGGGATTTTAAATTTTCTCTGAGTTTAGTCCCATTTTTCATATGGATGGAGTTCAATCCGAAGGTTGAGATTCAACGTCTCTGTGCTTCATGCTCCGTTAATGGTCTTTTTGTAAAATTGTAGTGGTCTTTGAGATTTGTAAGAACTCAGAATGTGGATCTCTTATATTTAACAGCATGGTTCCGTTTCTCAGCCGAATCCACTGACTCAGCTGAGTTACTCGGACTCACCTTCCAAATTGTGTGTACAACTGGGGTGCATAAATTTTAAAAAATAATAATAGAAAATCGCAAAAAATATATGAGTTGTGTATATTTATACTTTTATATGATTTGGATTGTTTTGGAAATGATTGGTCAGTGTTGCTTGCCATAATCCTTATTTTTATATTTTCCTTTTTTTTTTATAAATAATCTCCCCATCTATAAATCACCCTTATTTAGATCAAAATTTTAAGTACTTTTTTTAGCCTATTTGGACATTTCAATGTTGCTTTTAGTTTTATTTTACTTTTACTACCTTTCATTATATTCATTTATTTTTTATTTTTTGTTTTTTGTTTTTTGTTTTTAGAGGGCTTCTTTTTGCCCTGTACAGGACTTGGGCAAGTCGCTTGGCCAAGGGCCAGGTACCTTGACTGAGTCGAGTTCTGAACGCTGTTTAACAGTATCATTTGTTTCAAAGATTCAATAGTTTTTTGTTAAATTTAGATGACTGGATATTTAAGGTTTTACTTCTATTTGTCATTTGTTTGCATTTTATAGTGTTGCTTAGGTGCTTAGAATAGCATCAGATGGCTTACTCTTGGCAGATTTGGAATGTTGTGATTAGCAATTTATATGCATGTGGAATGTTGTGATTAGCAATTTATATGCATGTGGAATGTTGTGATTAGCAATTTATATGCATGTGCTTTGTCGTTGATTCATTTGTTCATTGGTTGCATATTGGCTACTTGGATATATCAGGTTTTTATGTTCAAAATATATGCTCTTGTTAATTGCTAGTAAGAGAATCTTGGCAAATCAATTTGTTATTTCTCTGAATCTCATGGATTAGGCTTGGTAGTGTGCTTTGTTTTTTTTGTGATTTATCAGTCTACTTTCATTTGATACCGATCATTTTCAAGGTGGAATATGCACTGATTTTCTCTCTGTTTATTTCTGTATAAACTTCTGCCTGGTTTAAGTTATAAGCTTGGTTTATCATTTCCTTCTCTTGAGCCTATCCAACAACGTAAAATAATCTGCTTTATCTGTTTTATAGGTTTGCAGCTGTAGCTCCAATGGAATCAAGCTTTTCGTTTTTCAGTGGAGTGGTATGGTTGTGTGCAAACCTTTGTGTGAACAAACCTTCTTTAAATTTTGAGCCATTCCTTCTCTATGTGTGTCTTCCATCTTAATTTTTTATCTGATCTTTTGAAGACCCATTTCCTTCACCCTTTAAAGGATGATGAACTCATCATCATCTTGTGGTTTCCATCCAGCGAATGTCTTAGAAGGAATCAATGACTCTAATTTTGATTTCAAGTTTTTTCTCATCGATCCATTTATTTAGCAGTAGTTTTTGTGGTGGGCACCACTCCGTCTTCATACACCAATTTGAAGCGATTCGTTAACTCCAAAGGGTCGGTGTATGTACATATTAGTCAGGGGGAGATACCATACCGTTTTGCCTCTATCCTTTGAAGACTGACCACTTCAAGAGCATTTCTTTCGGCCAGGGTTGAAAGTCCTACTTCTTCAATCCTCTCTATCAGGTATCTTTTCCTGATGGCTTAGTGTAAGTGATCAACCATTTGGAAACAGAGGATTTCTCATTCACTGCCTTTCTGTATAAATGTAACGGAAATCACAATATCATCCATTTTTCCTGCTTTCTTTGAATGGCAGGAATCTCTTTTGCATGGCTAAGCAATAAAAGCCATTTATTTCTAAACACAACCTTCCTCTTCCTCCTCTGTTTCTACTTAACCACTCTTTTCCAGTCACCCACTACACAGCTTCAATTTCAATCCACAAGTCCCACCTCAACAACCACTTCTATCCAGCATAATATCGCTCAAGAAAGCTGTCAAGTCTTACAGATATACAAGAGCTCTCAAGCCAAGTGTGAATACTTAAAAAGCACTACACTTTGTGAATCTGAAGGATACATAGACTATCTCTGGCTTTTCTACTGTGTCTGTGGAGGATATCCTGCTCTTGGATATACCCTTCTCATCTTTTGGCTTATTGTTCTGTTTTATCTATTGGGAAACACAGCTGCCGATTACTTTTGCTATTCTCTCGAAAGCCTCTCCTGCCATTTAAAACTTTCCCCTGCGTTAGCTGGAGTGACCCTTCTTTCTCTTGGCAATGGAGCTCCCGATGTTTTTGCAGGCATCGTTTCCTTTATAGGAGCTGGCAAAGCAGAATTGGGCATTAACAGCATCCTTGGTGGGGCTTTCTTTGTTTCATGCTTTGTTTCTGGATTAATTAGCATGTTTGTGGCCCCCCAAGAAGTACTCATTCACAAGAAGAGCTTTATTAGAGATGTGTGCTTTCTCCTGTTCTCTCTGGTTTCTCTCTTGGTGATACTCATTATTGGAAAGATCAACATCTGGGGGGCAATAAGTTTTACTCTTTTATATGTCGTTTATGTTTTAGTTGTATGGGCTTGCCATTTCATGAGTGAAAAGAACAAAGAAGAGAGCTTATTCACAAACGACCCCATTCTACCCACTTCTAGGACCCTTGTGTCAAATGGGTGCGAAGAAAACCCACAATTGAGTGAACCTCTCTTGAGTGACAACGAAAATGAACCCGACCCAATAGAAGAGAAAAAAAGGTTCGGTTGGGTATGTAGCCTGAAAACTCTAGTTTGGGTGTTCGAATTGCCTTTATCTTTGCCAAGGAGGCTCACTATCCCTTTGGTATCAAATGAGCGTTGGTCCAAGCCTTTTGCCATCGCTTCTGTTACATTAGCACCAATCTTTTTATCAGCTCTATGGAGCTCACAAGAAAGCCAGATGGGGCGCAAAATGCTCATTGCTATATACATTGCAGGCGCTTCATTAGGGATTGTATTGGGGATTCTTGTTTATTTGACAACTCATAGGAGACACCCACCTAGAAAATTCCTCTTTCCATGGCTTGCAGGGGGTTTCTTAATGAGCGTTGTATGGTCTTATATAATAGCAGAGGAATTGGTTGCACTATTGGTATCACTGGGGAACATTGCGGGTGTGAACACTTCAATACTGGGCTTAACAGTATTGGCTTGGGGTAATTCCATTGGAGATTTGATTGCCAATTTTACCCTCGCCATGAAGGCTGGGCCTGATGGGACCCAGTTTGCCATATCGGGGTGCTATGCAGGGCCCGTGTTCAACACACTTGTGGGATTGGGCTCTTCTCTGGTTTTCTCTTCCTGGAAAGAGTACCCCTCTTCTTATTCGATCCCAAAGGATTCGACTCTATATCAGACCGTGGGTTTCTTAGTGGGTGGTCTATTATGGGCCCTTCTCATTTTGCCACGAAAAGGAATGCGGCTCAATAGGACCTTTGGTGTTGGACTTTTGTCTATATACCTCTGTTTTCTGTGTCTCAGGCTCACAGAAGCCATTTGGTCGCTGAAATGAGGGCTTAAAAGAAACACGCACGACTTTCTTTCTATCACTAGTGTACATAAAGCTTCTTTGAATGTGCAAGTGGAAGGGGCTAATTTGAAGAAGGTTCAATTGCTGACTGATTAGAACTTTAAGAAAAGGTCAGTCCTCTGAACATGATTCTGTAGTTTTAGCCTCTACCATAAAGAAGTTTTTACATGTATATGTTTAATTTATTAGACCCTGATTTCATGTTAATTTTGGTTAGTAATTGTAACAAGAAAAGGATAAGAATTATCCAGATTTATGAAAGTGTAGATGACTTTTTAATGCAATGCATTTGTAGGTTCCGATCTGGCAAAGCAAGCTTTGGATAATTCTTAATTATTGTGATAATGTAATTTGATTGATAACTTCTTTAGGTAGAGATATCGTGCACAATCAAAGGAAAGAGACCTTGAAAAGCCACTAGAATTGCATAGTTAGACCTCGAATTGGAACCATGTTTTGTTGTTTCTGACGATTTGGATGGTGGAGTTTGGTGATTACAAGTAGCTGTGATGTTTAGGGTTTGTTTGTCAGCTTCTCCCGCCATGATTGTGAGGGGGTAGTCCCACCTATTAAGCGTGTCATGGGCTTGATCTTGCCGGTGGTTGTCGTACTTGGCCGCCTTATGTGGGGAAAGGGTCCACCTTATGAGCATGTGACTGGTTGTTCCCCTCTTTCTCTCTCACTTGTCTGTCTCATTCTCAGCCCTTTTGCTAGGGTTGCATCTCTATATATATATCTTTTTATTTTATTTGATGCCAATAGATAGTCCACTCCCCGGATAAAACTCCATCTATTATCAATTTTAGGACTCCGAATTTGTGGGATATAGCTTCTTTAACACATGAATTAACTTCAAAAAAAAAAAATCTCAAGATTGAATAGAGACCGTCCTATTTTAGAGTGTAAGATCTAAATCTCTTATTCTCTCTGGGGAAATCCTTTCAATGAATATTAAATATGGCCAGCCGGTCAATCTCCCTGGGGCTTCTTGTGTTTGATTTCCCTTTGTTTTTTTTTTGTTTTTTAAGGTAATTCAGTAGGGATGATGAATCTTTATCCGTTTTTTAAATCGTTAGTGGTTTTTGAATGCGTTAAGTGATAATAAAAACCTATACCTTGGTTTTGGCTTTGAATGTGTTAGGTGAGAATAAAAACATAGATCTTAACTGGGCCACAAGTGGTGCTGGCCCGTTTTTTAAAATACAAATAACACGCGAGGCGTTGGTAATTGTGGACTTTGCTTTCTTAACCCCACTTTAACTTTAGCTTCTATTTATTGTGAGTTTTTTTTTAAAGTAAATGTTTTGTGGTAAAAAAATTAGACAAATCTGTGATGTATCTGACAGCATTAAATTTTCAAAACTCCTTTCTTCTAACATCCTAAACCCCCTATTAACCCCTTCTAATAATATTTTACAAAATAGCAACCACGTCTACCGACACTCTCTCTCTCATATTACCGGCTCTTATTTTCTCTTTCATACACGCTCTCTCCCTGACTCCCTTCAGACCTCCTCTGGCTCTCTCTCCCATAAACCTCTCCATCTCTCTCACCCCCTATCTACCCATATCTCACTGTTATTGATCTATCTCTCTCTCTCCACCCATATCTCACTGTTATTGGAGAGATGAAATCTGTAATTTCAAGACTAATTAATGTTTGCAATATCCCCTGAAACCTTAAAAATGATATTGACTCCTCCACACCTTATTTAGGGAAGGATGACATTTCTATAAGGCCAAAGTCTCACCTCAAATTCTTATTGGAAAGCACTTTCGGCAATAGAAGTCTCTATGATGGCTTTAAAATTCATTTTTAATATTGACAAATAATTTAAAACTCAAAAAATAGTATAGATACTGCGGATCTATGAACACTTATATTTAAGGTGAAATGGACAGTCTAGATGATTTGTTATAATATATACTATTTTTAGAGCTTGAAATTCTAATTTTTTTTACTACTATAATGTGCAAGTCGAGATGATTGATGTAGGTTTTTCAATACTTCAATTGCAATATTCGATGGANCTATAGGGTGAGGCTTTACTATTTGATAAGGTCGCAGTCCCCTATCAAACTAGTTTTTCCTTAAAGAAAAGAA